ATTGCTGCGGTATTTTGGAATATTCATAACTTATGGCGCTAAATGTAATTGCTCCTCCATTGATCTATTCGTTTCAATAGTAACTGGTACTGGCCTATGCCAGGAGTCAAACTCGCCATCAGCTTGCTTCTGGCAACCTTCGAGAAAGGGAGCCGTTGGCAGTCCTGATAAAGACTATTTTTGGAGCGTCTCCAACTTTCGTAGAGAACAAAACAGGCGATCTTTTGATATTTATTATGGCCAACGTACGTTGAACAGCTTGCAATGGGCACTAAATGAAGGATTTATGCAGCTCAGGACTAAAATTCTCTGGCACAGTTGCGCCTGGCGTGTGAAAGCATTCCAGGGACAACACAAATCACACTGACTGTCCGGGTGGTCTTGATATTCTTGGTATATTTTAAAAAATCTTCAATTTTAAAGCCCTATTCAATTAAAAGCTCTTTCTTTATGAGTAGTCGAGCGAGTTGAGCTACGAGTAAACCTTCTGGCTGCTCAATTGGATTCAGTCTACGGTAAAACTTTAATAGCGAAACAAGTTTGGCCCCATTATTTTGAATTAGTATTAAAGAAATTCTGCGTGTGGGAGATTATTTTTTAATTGCTTTTTGAAACGTCTGTTACTTGACAAAAGTTTTGAAAATTTTGGGTCCTAATTATTCAATTTTGCGAAAAAACTGCATTAAAAAGTATTGACTTTGAAGATGCTTTTGAATAGAGTGTGGCTGCTTTTCGCGAAATACATCTAATTAGAATTTGTACTGAGCGAGTTTGTTGGAATTAAGTTTGAGCCATGATTTCTGAAAGTTTCCGCTCTCTAAGCCATTTTTAGTGGAAGCTTTAATTTCTTGTGACTCTAATTAGCAACGCTAGCATGCACGGGACGAAACCTTTCAAATGCTTTCTGCCCTTAAGATTAAGTGCATCAATCCTCATCGCTTGGCTAATTTTTATTGATTTTATGCATCACATTGGAAATGTTGCATTAGGGTAATCATCGTGCAGAAGAATGTTTTGACCAACAGTCTTCGTTTCAGAAAATCGAAGCTAAACCAATAATGAGAACTGAAAAACAGTTTATAGCGTGTGTCTTCATCATCTTCTCACAAGTTACTTTGACCAATATTGTATTCTCTGGTGGTCAACCACGCAAAGACGACAAAGCACAGAAAGTAACTGCCCAAAAAAATTTCGCAAAAAGTTTTGTTTTAATCAATTTGTAAAGGAGTATATCAGCCAGCCGTTGGTCAAGGCGTTTTCTAAGTTGCCTACCAATTACAGATTTTCTTGTTAGCAAAGGATAATAAAGGAGAGAGTTAATCAAACGCAGAAAAGTTCGCAGCACTTTATAAATATCCCGCTATCTATCACTTTTGGCACTACAACGGTACATGTTCTGGAGAAGAAAATTTGCCGTTGTCGTTCCAAAAGAACATGAGCCGTGAAACAGGAACATAGTCGTGAAACATAAGGGTCGACGAAATGAAAGTGGCAGATTATTTAATAGGTCAAGATAACTATTCTCGAGGTGGGAATGGTTCCGGTGATTTCGTATGCTCCACAGTAAAGCGCCAAATGGAATAGTATTCCTAGTAACCCCAGTAGTTTTAGTTTATACATTTTTCATCTGTTTATTAAAATAATCGTTACTGCATCATTTCTTCACCCGGTAAAATCTCCTTTACTGATCATATTATAATTCAGAGCTACCCTTTTTCCTCCAATTCACGCTCACAGCTTTTTCAGTATTTTGAATTTTAAAGTCAAAATTTCCTCCGCCTTTGACAAATCCAGTCACCGAAAAGGGCCCTAATTTGTAGCAATTTGCAATAGCAAGCACCCGCAAGCAAAACTGTTGTGGCTTCCTTTTTCTGAGCTTTCTTAGAATGAAATCTGATAGCGAGTTTGATGCACAGTGATGCTGAGCGTAATTCAGATGAAGCGAAAGCAGCGGAGAAGGAGCTCGAGCAACGTATAATGGCTCTGGACTTCGATACAAAAAGATTCACAGAACTTGAAGATTTACAGATCAGAGGAGAGCTGGAACAGCTTCGCCGTATTGTTGTCAAAAATCTGGATAACGAAGCCTTCGTCAGATACATAAAGCGCTTTCGAAAACAACAGGTTCCCCTTCTTTAAAATAAATTTTGGGTCTTGCTGGGATTTACTTTAGGTTTCGGGCTCAGCTACCGTACTAGACAAAGTCCTCTTTGTATTCCTTTTTTTCTGAGAGGAGGAAGAGCGAATGCTGGCCGCCGAGTTGAAAACTGCGGAAATCCAAACATATGCATACCCACTGGTTCTTGACAATATGCATTTTGCACTGCAGTTGCAACAAATTTAAAAGCAAAAAAAGAGAAAAATTGGATGGAAATTTGAGAATATTAATATTTCGACACATACAGTGAATAGACGGATAATAAGGAACATATAAATAATTAGATTTCGAATTATGAAGTAAGAAGACTGAGTGATTTTTTTGAACCCTCATTTATTTGTTTGCATTTGAGAATCGCTTGAACGCAGCGATGATGGCAATC